CAAGTGTCAGGTAACTTTAGTCAGTCATTTTGCTGATGTAACTCTATTATAGGTATTTTTATAAGTCACTTGCAAATAGTTGGGCTATAAACATAAGCTGGTAAAAGTAAGTTTTATGTCTTAATTTCTCTGTACATCCTAATGCTTCTAGTTTTTACCTAGGTATAAGTAGGTGCTTTGCAAATATACCTTAGAGGAAAGATCCTTTATTTACTTAATGAATCCCCCTTTTTTGAGTCAGGGTTTTATTCTGACACCCAGGCTGGAGTACAGTGGCATACTTGTGGCTCACCACAGCTTCAACCTCTTGGGCTCAGGTGATCCTTCTGCCTCAGACCCCCACCTCCAGTAGTTGGGGTTATAGGTGCATGTCACCATACCTGGCTAATTTTTTAAAATTTATTTTTTGTAGAGATGAGGTCTTGCTATATTGCCTAGGCTGGTCTCGGACTCCTGGACTCAGGCAATCCTCCTGCCTTGGCTTCTCAATTTATTGGGATTACAGGTGTGAGTCATTATACCTGGCCAATGAACTTAAAAAAAATTTTTTTTTTTTTTTTTTAGATTCAGGAGGTAAATGTGCATGTTTGCTACATGGACATATTGCAGGCTGTAGAAACTGGGCTTCTGGTGTCCCCATTCCCCAAATAGTAAATAATGTACCCAACAATTTTTGAACCTTCACCTCCTTCTCATCTCCCTCCTTTTGGTGTTCCCAGTGTCCACTATTTCCATCTTCACATCCATGAGTACCCACTGTTTCGCTCCCACATATAAGTGAGAACATGCAGTTTGGTTTTCTGTTTGAGTTAGTTCACTTAGGATAATGGTCTCCAGCTCCAACTATGTTGCTGCCAAGAACACGATTTTGTTCTTTTTTAGAGCTGCGTAATATCCCATGGTATATATGCAGCACATTTTCTTTATTCAGTCAATTGCTGATGGGCACTTAGGATGGTTCCATGACTTTGCTATTGTGAACAGTGCTGTGATAAACTTATGAGTACAAATGTCTTTTTGGTAGAACTAGTCATGCACCTTTGGGTATATAGTGAGATTGTTTGGTCGAATGGTAGTTCTATTTTTAGTTCTTAAAGGAAACTGCAAACTGTTTTCCAAAGAGATTGAACTAGTTTACATTCTCACCAGCAGTGTATGAGTGTTGTTCCCTTTTCTCTGCAGTCTCACCAACATCTGTTCTTTGACTTTTTAATAATATCCATTGTGACTGGTGAGAGATGGTAACTCATTGTGGTTTTAATTTGCATTTCACTGATATTCAGTGATGCTGAGCATATTTTCATATGTTTGTTGGGATTTATATGTCTTCCCTTGAGATGTGTCTGTTCATATCCTCTGTCCACTTTTTAATGGGGTTATTTTCTTGTTTGAGTTCTTTATAGATTCTAGATCTTAGTCCTTTGAGACATGATTTGCAAATATTTTCTTCCATTCTGTAGGTTTTCTGTTCACTCTGTTGAATATTTCTTTTGCTGTGCAGAAACTTTTTAGTTTAAGTCACATTTGTCTATTTGTGCTGCTTTGCTTTTGAAGTTTTCATCATAAATTTTTTGTTTAGGTCAATGTCCAGAAGAGTTTTTCCTAGGTTTTCTTTTAGAATTTTTTTTTTTTTTTTGAGTTGGAGTCTCACTCTTGTCACCCAGGCTGGAGTGCGTGGCACACTCACAGCCACCACAGCCTTGACCTTTTGGGCTTAGGCAATCCTTTGGTCTCAGCCTTCCAAGTTGCTGGAATTACAGATGCACGCCACCACGCCTGGCTAGGTTTTTTTGTGATTTATTGTAGAGACAAGGTCTCACCAAGTTGCCCAGGCTGGTCTTGAATCCCTGGGCTCAGGCAATCCTCTTGTCTCAGCCTCCCAACGTACTGGGATTACAGGCTGAGCCACCGCGCCCAGCCGCTTCTAGGATTTTAATAGTTTCAGTTCTTGTGTTTAGGTCTTTAATCCATCTTGAGTTAATTTTTATGTATGGTGAGAGGTAAGGATTCAGTTTCATTCTTCTGCATACACTATCCAATTTTCCCATCATAATTTACTTCCTTTCCACATTGTTTATTTTTGTCGGCTGTCAAAAAACAGTCGGTTTAGGTACAAGGTTTTATTTCTGGGTTCTCTATTCTGCTCCATTGACCTATCTGTTTATTTTTGAATCACTACCATGCTGCTTTAGTTACTATCGCCTTATAACATAATTTGAAGTCAGGCAGTGTGATGCCTCTGCATTTGTTTTTTTCACATAGGAATGCTTTGGCTATTCAGGCTTGTTTTGGTAGTTGTTCCATATGAACTTAAGGATTGTATTTTCTAATGCTTAATGAACCTTTTTTTAAAATGAAAAATATATGCACAGGATTAAAATAAATTTAAATAATCTATTTCCTGCCCCAGAGCCCCAGACCTCCCCTGTGGCAATCTCACTGTTACAGACTTATGACTATGTTTCCATAAATACTCTATGCATAGCCTTGATAATTCTAGAAGAAAACCTAAAAATCGTATTACGAACCTTGTATACACAAGGTTCTGCTCTTTCTTTGGTTGATGGCTTTCTAGCAACTAGAAAAATCAAAGCAGATAAAATAGAAAAGTAGAATAAGATAAAAATGTTAGACTCTCTTGGAACATAAACAGACAAATTTTTAAAAACCCAAATAGGGTAATTTTGTTATGGGCATTTCAGTTAATATTTTTCTACATAGAATATATAGTGAGTTTACAAAAAAGTCTGTGGCCAGGTATGGTGAATCACACCTGTAATCCCAGCACTTTGGGAGACTAAAGCAGGAGGACCGCTTGAGCTCGGGAGTTTAAAACCAGTTGGGCAACACAGCAAGTGTTGCAAGTCTCAATATATATATTTTTCAAATACTTTTAACCAAATTAATGGCAAAATCCTTGACAAAAACTGTTCTAAATGCTTGAAATGTATTAAATCATTTGTTCCATAATGCAAGTTACTAAAGTATGTATTAATGTAATACTCATTTTATAAATAAGAAAATTGAAGTTAATGTAGGCCAACTAGTTTGCTCAAGGCACTAACTAAGAAGTAGCAAAGCCAGGATTCAAACTTCCAAGTTCTGGCTCCTGTAGGCACACTCTTAACTACTTGAGTACCTGTCAAAAGAAAAGATAGTTTATACCAGGAGAAATGAAATCAGCAAACCAACATGTGGGAAAAAATTCAACATTTCAACTAATTATAAGACACAAATTAAAACAACTACTACAGTACTATGTTATACTTATTTGCAAAATAAAATAAAAATGAAAAATCCAATGTTAATGACTCTTTAGGGATATATTTACTCATTGCTGGTTGCACAATAAAAATTGGTTTAATCTTTCTAAGAAGCAATTTAGCTACATATAAAAACAATTACAATCTTTAATCTAGTAATCCCATACTAAAAATTAATTTAACAATATAATTCAAAAAGCAAAAGCTACGATAAACAGAGTCAAATCATTAGAGTAACAAAAAGAGAGAAAAAAGAGAGAAAGAGGGGGAAAATGGAAGAAATCAGAAACAATGTAACTAAATTATCAGATAGCAACTGGAAAAAGTATTATACAGTTAGTAAGAATAATAAGTATAAAGGCAATGTTGCTGTATACAAAGTACATTTCAAAGAAGTGAAAAAATAAATGTATATACATCATGATTATACTTAATGTTAACCATGTATGCATGAATGAACTGAGAAGAAATCATATCTAAATATGATCGGTTATGTTTGGATTTTGCCTTATTCCATTTTGTGCTTGTGACTAGGTAATACATAAAGAACAGAATACTTGTGACTAGGTAATTCATAAAGAACAAAAATGTATTTCTTATAGTTCTGGAAGTTGGGAAAGCCAAGATGGAGATGTCCACATCTAGTCTGGGCTTCCATGCTGTGTCATCTCATGGTGGAGCTTAAGAAAACATAATTTCTTTGAACATGATTTCTGAACTTGAAGACTTAAGTCCTTTTATAATTGGTATTAATCCACTTGTGAGGGTAGAGCCCTCATGACCTAAACACTTCCCATTAGGCCCCACCTCCAACACTGGCATCAGGGATTGCTTCTGACACATGCTTTTTGAGGGACATTCAAGCACATGTAGCAGCACTGTAAGTGAAAGAATAATGGGTATTTATTTGGAAAAACTTTAAGGAATTGTTCTTATTACTAAACTTCTAGAATTGTAGAAATCCCCTTAACAGATTAGACTTACTGTCTTATTTATTTTTTTATTTAGAGTCGGCATCTCACCCAGTTGCCCAGTCTGGAGTACCGTGACACAATCAAACTCACTGCAAGCTAGACTTTCTAGGTTCAGGTGATTCTCCCTCCTCAGTCTCTCAGGAAGCCCGTACTATAGGCATAAGCCATCATGCTCCCTAACTTTTTTATTTTTTGTAGAGGCGAGGTCTTACTATGTTGCCTAGGCTGGGTTACTGTTCTTTTAAATTTGAATATAACTCCCAGAATTAATACTAATTGAGATTTCTAGTGATTGAATCAATCCATTCTACTGGAATAAGAATGTGAATATAATGTGTGAGGAATATAAGAGATTTAATAGATTTTTTTTTTTTTGAGTTGGAGTCTCACTTTGTCACCCAGACTGGAGTGCATTGGCCGCTCCCAGTCACTGCAGCCTCGACCTGCTGGGCTCCGACAATCCTTCCACCTCAGCCTTCCAAGTAGCTGGAACTACAGGTGTGCACTACCATGCCCGGCTAATTTTTTGATTTATTGTAGAGATAAGTTCTCGCCAAGTTGCCCAGGCGGGTCTCGAACCTGCGGGCTCAGGCAATCCACTCATCTCAGCCTCCCAAGGCACCGCAGGATTACAGGCTGAGCCACCGAGCTCGGCTAATAGATTTAATAGACTAAATGGTTGGAGTAATTATAGTATTTCTGTGATAGAACTTATAATAACAAAAGGGAAGAAAACTTGAAGTTTGTTAGAATATTAGCTTACCTGCTTTAAAGTTGCTATGAAGCGAGTTATATATTCTACGGTAACTGGGTCCTCAACTGTAAGCTTATGGCTCTGGCACTGCACACGGGCTCTATTGATTACTACTCTAGCATCAGCAGTCAGACCTATAAAAATAGTAAAAATGTCAAAAACACATATTTTAAAAATATTTTTCATGCCAAGTGTGTTTTAGCCACCATGAAATCCTTCTTATGAAATTTCTTTATTCTCAATACTTGCCCATTTTAAAGAAATTGTAAAATCAAGGGTCACTTGTCCTACATTCTGATTTATTTCCTTGAAGACTTCATTAGATGCATTCTTATTTAGTTTTTAAAGAAAATAATAGCAAACAAATAGTAAGCTGGATTCCTTCTTCTGGAAATTACTTCATTATCAAACTGCATTCAATACAACTGTGACATGTCACTTCTCAGTTTATCTAAAACTAAGGGTTGAAAACTAAGGGTTTGAAAATCAAGAATGTTAAAACAGAAAAAGAAAACAACTGACCTTGCTCTTGCAAAACCAAAACATCATGTGACTAATGCTTAACATTAATATTATATATTTATATCTATAATTAACATATTATATAATTAATTATAAGGAAACAAAATGTGTTTATGTCAAAAGAATAACAAACTTACCATGAAGTTTAATTCAATGGTTGCAAACATTTCTATTAAAGACTTTGGCATTTGACTTTTTCATACATTTTTTTCTTTCCCAACTATCTGAATACTAGTTACATTGTCAAGAAAATTCATTCACAAAATCTTGGAAACTTAGTTATTTTTTACATAACCATCAGTCTTTTTCAGTCACAGGTTCTTGTTTCACTTTCACATCACTTCTATTCCTATTTCTACAAACCTGAAAGAATCTTTAGTAGCTGAAGACAATGAATATGAATATACCACTACTAACAATCACTCATAGGTAGGGTAGGCTGATTCTCTATGCAAATGTTATCTAAGAGAATGAAATGGTAAGAGACTGACTTAGCCTATGGATTAAAGCTTCTTACTCTATGGATTAAAGCTTCACTCAATTAGAAATATGATCAGATATGGTATTTCTAAATATTTCCCCTTTTACAATATAAATATGATCTAAGCCTGAAGAAATATCAAAGTAGCATACTTAAAAAATTAGCAATATAACTGATTCAAGGAAAAAATTAGTGATAAATTTGTCAAAATATATGAGCAACATAGTTGTGCGTGTTTGTTTTAATAAGTAGCAATTATACCAATCAATATTAATTGGTTCTCAGAGAACAGCTTCTATTTTTAAACATTACAGTTAAAACTTACATTTAAAATTACAATTTCACTTTAATAATAAGCAATCTATAGAAGAAATGAACTTTCAATCTAGTGCTTTTAAATATACACAGGTTGACTATCCCTCATTTGAAATGCTTGGGACCAGAACGATTTCAGATTTTGAATGTTTTCAGGTTTTCGAATATTTGCATTGTACTCACTGGTTGGGCATCCCAAATCTTTTTTCTTTTTTGTGAGTTGGAGTCTCACTCTGTCACCCAGACTGGAGTGCAGTGGCCGCTCCCGGCCACCACAGCCTCGACTGCTGGGCTCCAGCGATCCTTCCGCATCAGCCTTCCAGGTAGCCGGAATTACAGGCGTGCGCTACCACGCCCGGCTAATTTTTTGATTTATTGTAGAGATGAGGTCTCGCCTGCCCAGGCGGGTCTCGAACCCACGGGCTCAGGCAATCCACTCAACTCAGCCTCACAAAGGCGCGGGATTACAGGCTGAGCCACCGAGCCTGGCGGGCATCCCAAATCTGAAGCTCAAAAACCTGAGAATCAAAAGCCTCCAATGAGCTTTTCTTTTGAGCATCATGTTGGCACTCAAAAAATTTCAGATTTTGGGGTATTTCAAATTTTATATTTTCAGATTTGGGATGCTCAACCTGTACCACAACTTTACCGTGAGGATACTATCACAATGCAAAAGTGCTACTACTATGTGGCGTTCCACATAATACATTAGCAAAATATATTTTTTTAATTATTTGATTTTTCTTAAGAGTTACTTTCCAAACATTATAGGCATACTATAACAACAACACAAACAAAAGAATGTGGGATTTTTCAATATGGATCTGTTTATTTTTTTCTGATATTTTCTCACTGAAATACTCCAACAAGGAATAAAAACTACCATATAATTCCAAAATTAATAAACATAACTATATTATCCATATACATTTAATTCATATACTTTTTTATATCAACACATACAGGGTGTCTTAACCCATCTTTGGCGGCTATGAGAACGCCACAGACTGTGTAATTTACAAAGAAAAGAAATTTCTCACAGTTCTGGAGACTGACAAGTTCATGGTGCTGGCATATAGTGAGGATCTTCTTGATATGTTATAACGGCAAAAATATCACATGGCAACAGAGAGAAAAAGGAGGTTTAACTAATGAACTCTTGTTATAATGGCATTAGCCTACTCACAAGAGCAGAGCCTCCAAAACCTAATTAACTCTTAAAGTTCTCACCTCTCAACACTGCTACAATGGCAATTAAACTTCAACACAAGTGTTGTAGGGGACATACAAACCATCACACTCCACTTCTGGGCCTCCCAAACTCATGTCCTTTTCAAATACAAAACACATTCATTCTGTCCCAATAGACCCAAAGTCTTAATTCAATCCAGCATCAACTAAAAAGTCCAAAGTCAAAAGTATCATCTAAATTCTAAATCAGATATAGGTGAGACTCAAGGCATGATTCATACCATGGCAAATTCCCTCCAGCTGTTAACTACTTCCCAATCACAATGGTTGGGCAGGTGTAGCATAGATATTCCCATACCAATAGATGGAAAGAGGCAAGGAAAACAGTAACTGGTTCCATGTAAGTAAAAAACACAACAGGGTCAATAACAATAAACTTTACACTGCAGAATGATCTTTCATTCCATGTGCCTCCTGGACACACTGGGGGATCTGGGCCTACAAAGTCTCAGGAAGCCCACCCCTTATGGCTTTGCAGGGCTCAGCCCATGCAGCAGTTATCACAAGTTGGTCTCATGCCTGCAGTTCTCCCAGACTGGCTTGCATGCTGGTAGCCTTACAGTTCTGGGGTCTTTCGGGTGACCCCACCCATGTCTCCACAAGGCACTGTCCTAGCAGGGGCTCTCTGTGTAGCTCTGGTTCCATCCCACATTTCTGTTTAGGATTGCTCCACTAGGAGCATTCTGTGGTGGTTCTACCTCTGTGACAAATCTCTGCTTGTACTCCCAGGCTGTTCTTGACATCCTTTGAAATCTAGATGGAGGAAGCTATGCCCTCAGAGCTCTTGCATTCTGCACACCTATAGATTTTACACCACATAGATGCCACCAATGTTTACAATCTGTACCTTCCAGAACAGTAGGTCGAGCCATGCCCAGGGCCACCTGAGTCACAGCGAGGGTGCCCAGGAGCACTGCACCAGGCTACAATGAGCAAAGACCTGAGGTGGCTCTGGGCAGTGACCTGTCCCTGAAACTATTCTACTTTCCTAGAACAATTTCTAATGGGAGGGGCAGCCTCGAAGATCTCTGAAGTGCTTCTGGGATTTTTCTTCCATTGTCCTAATTATATACATAGTAACCTCTTAATCAATCAGTTGCTTGGTTGTACCTGGGTATTTTCTATTGAAAATGCTCATCCATTCTCTATCATGCGGCCAGGCTGCAAATTTTCCAAATTTTTCTGTTTTGTTTTCCTTTTAATTATAAATTCTGTTATTAAAATAATCTCTTCTCTCTTTTTAAAAATTATTATTATTTTTTAAAAATTATAAAGATGTGGGATACAATTCAGGGTTAGGTATACAAACATTGATTATGCAGGTAACCTTGTTGATTAGGTATCCCCCTCCCTCCCCTAGCAGTTTCCCTCAACTGCCAATCCCTGCCCCCCCTTGCAACTTCCCGCTACTGCCAAACCCTTTCTTATAGTATTATAATTGTTCAAGTTCCGTTTATGAGTGAGAACATTTGGTAATCTGTTCTTTGTTTCTGTGATGGATCACTGAGTATGATCGACTCCAAATCCACCCAAGGTGCTGCGAAGTCCATATATTTGTCCTTGTTTATGGCTGTATAATATTCCGTTGTGTACATGTACATTTTCTTTATCCAGCCCAGCTTTGATGGGCCACATGGTTGGTTCCATGTTTTTACTATTATGCATAGAGCTGCAACAAACATACGTGTGCAGGTATCTTTTTTGTAGAATGATTTGAGTT